AATCCGTCAGAATTATTTCTCTACCTCTAATAGGACACATGTTAGGACACTTTAAAGGTGCAGACTCAACTTTCAGTGACACCCATAAAACCGAAACTACGTGTCGGACATAAAAAAAATTAACATCATGTAAAAGCTGAAGTCAATAGTAATTATTAATGTAAATATCAACGTCATCCGAGGCCAAGTTCCTTTGGTAGAAGCGTTCAAAGTTTGAAGGAAATTGCAACATTTTCTTTAATGTGACTTTGACACGATCAAATGCCATATAAATTGAATCCATTTATAAAGTGCATTAATAATCTGAAAGTAGTATGTCGCTAAATCAATTAGGGTTGAGATACAGCACTGCAAAAATGCCAAATTAACCATATTTAGACCCCTATAAAATCAGAATTTGTTGTTTGACCCCAAAGGTCAAAAGGTCATGAGAAGGTCAAGGACAGCCTTTATCACCATGGTCAATATAAAGGTCATCAAAGATCAAGGTCATGAGTTATAAGCCTTCAAACTTTGGAAAAAAACATCAGGTTGTACAAAAAAGGCAAAACCGAAAATCAAAATTCTGCTTCCTAAGGATTGTAGATAGACATTAAACCTATCGTATGACACAAAAATTACGCAACTCAGATTAAAAATGTTCTCTGAATAGCAATTTCTGCAAAATGAGGCAAACCAAAATGGCGGCCTAAATGTTACTTTCGGTGCGAATTTTTTTAATTTAATAAGTTTGTATTAAGGCTGGTAATATAATGCATATGTTATTTTTGAGATAACTCAATTTCACCGGAAGTGATACCACCGGAAGTACTAACATCGAAACCGGAAGTGATAAAAAATTTTTTGAATGTGTGCTTTTATTCCACTATGCTGTCAGTCTACACCATGTAAGTTTCAAGTCAATCCGCCAAATAATAACCGAAATAGTATTTTACAATAATTTCGGCAAAAAAAAAATTAGAACGAATTTTCGAAAATCGAAAATTTTCAACAGCTATCATATGTCCTTTGTTACAAGAATTACGATGAAGAAAACCCCATCAAAATCGGTTGATAAACACGCCCTCTAGAGTCCATTTTCCGTTTGTTGCCAACGTTGCTAACGTTGCTCAGAAAGTTTTCGTTTTACATTTAAGCTGCTATTAGCCACGAGTTACGAAACGCCACGAAGTCCGTTTTCCCGTACCTGTTGCTGTTTCCGAGAAAACCGGCCTGCGCTGGACGAAAAAAAAAAAAAAAACTAGAACTGTTCTAATAACAGTACTGATGCAGGTACATTCAGGTACATACGAAGATGGTCTATTGCAATTACTTTATGTAAATACCTTTCTGCATCTCTAAATGCAAATATCCAAAAGTGCCTGGAGTTTAAAGTATATTTACTAGGAATAAAAGAATATTTGTCAATTAATAAAGAATAAGTTTGATGAAACCCGGATAAGAAATAAGAAAGTTGGTAATTTGCATGCGCTCAACAAAAATTCAATATTTCCATCAAATTTAGAATTGAATTAAACATATACATACCAAGTTTGGTGAAATTCAGATAAAAAATAAGGAAGTCGGTAATGCGCATGCGCACAACAAAAATTAAAAATTTCCATCAAATTTAGAATTGGATTATACACATACATACCAAGTTTGCTGAAATTCGAATAAGAAATAACAAAGTTGGTAATGCGCATGCGCACAACAAAAATTCAATATATCCATCAAATTTAGAATTGTATTATTCACATACATACCAAGTTTTATGAAAATCGGAAAAGAAATAAGAAAGTTGACAATGCGCATGCGCACTACTCAAATTCGATAATTCCATCAAATTTAGAATTTGATTATACACATACATACCAAGTTTGATGAAAATCGGATAGTAAATAAGAAAGTTGGCAATGCGCATGCGCACTACGCAAATTCGAAAATTCCATCAAATTTAGAATTTGATTATACACATACATACCAAGTTTGATGAAAATCGGATAGTAAATAAGAAAGTTGGCAATGTGCATGCGCACTACGCAAATTCGAAAATTCCATCAAATTTAGAATTTAATTATACACATACATACCAAGTTTGATGAAAATCGGATAGTAAATAAGAAAGTTGGCAATGTGCATGCGCACTACGCAAATGCGAAAATTCCATCAAATTTAGAATTTAATTATACACATACATACCAAGTTTGATGAAAATCGGATAGTAAATAAGAAAGTTGGCAATGTGCATGCGCACTACGCAAATGCGAAAATTCCATCAAATTTAGAATTTAATTATACACATACATACCAAGTTTGATGAAAATCGGATAGTAAATAAGAAAGTTGGCAATGCGCATGCGCATTACGCAAATTCGATTATTCCATGAAATTTAGAATTTGATTATACACATACATACCAAGTTTGATGAAAATCGGATAGTAAATAAGAAAGTTGGCAATGCGCATGCGCATTACGCAAATTCTATTATTCCATGAAATTTAGAATTTGATTATACACATACATACCAAGTTTGATGAAAATCGGATAGTAAATAAGAAAGTTGGCAATGTGCATGCGCACTACGCAAATTCGAAAATTCCATCAAATTTAGAATTTAATTATACACATACATACCAAGTTTGATGAAAATCGGATAGTATATAAGAAAGTTGGCAATGCGCATGCGCATTTTACGCAAATTCGATTATTCCATGAAATTAAGAATTTGATTATACACATACATACCAAGTTTGATGAAAATCGGATAGTAAATAAGAAAGTTGGCAATGCGCATGCGCATTACGCAAATTCGATTATTCCATGAAATTTAGAATTTGATTATACACATACTTACCAAGTTTGATGAAAATCGGATAAGAAATGAGAAAGTTGGTAAATTAAGTGGAGGTATACCTTCAATATGCTGCCGTGAGCTTAAACTACAATATGGCATGATTCAATCCACCCGAGAGCTTAATTTTATACCATAACTGGACAAAGATCATTTTTAAGAAATATAAAAGGGAGGGTATCTTTAAAACAACTTAAAATTTGATTTCTATTGGGGTTGACAGCCAGGTTAATCTAATTAGCCGATTTATCTAATAATAACCCCATGTTAAGTGAATGGAGTTTTGAATTTGCATGTAAGGTATGCATGTTATATATCTAGGGAAAGCTGGGAATCTCTACATTACAAAATCGAAAGAATTATTGCCATATCTCTATTAGGGACCGAGATATAGCACTTTAAAGGCTCAAAATGGTCCATATTTAGACCCCTTTAAAATCGGAAATAGGAATCTGACCCCAAAGGTCAAAAGGTCATCAGATAGACAAGGTCACAAATTATCATCACAGTAAATATGAAGGTCATCAAAGGTCAAGGTCATGAGATATACGCCTTCAAACTTTGAAAAAAACAATCTAGTCGTACAAAAAAGGCAAAACCGAAAATCAAAATTATGCTTCCTATCATTTGTAGACAAACAATAAACAGATCGTTTGACACAAATGTTACGCAAATCGGATTAAAAATGAATTCTGGGAATCGATTTGGGCAAAAATGAGGCAAACCAATATGGCGACAAACATGTTACTTCCGGTACGATTTTTTTTAGTTTAAAAGGTTTGTATTAAGGCTGGTAATATAATGCATATGTTACTTTTGACATAAATCAATTCCACCGGAAGTGACGCCACCGGAAGTACTAACATCGAAACCGGAAGTAATGAAAAAATTTTGAATGTGTGCTTTTATTCCACTCTGCTGGCGGTCTACACCATGTAAGTTTCAAGTCAATCCGCCAAATAACAACCGAAATAGTATTTTTCGATTATTTTCAGCAAAAAAAAGTATGCAATGAATTTTCGAAAATCGAAAATTTTTAACTGCTATCATTTGCCCTTTGTTACAAGAAATATGATGAAAGAAACGCGATCAAAATCGGTTGATAAACATGCCCTCTAGAGGCGATTTTCTGTTTGTTGCTAACGTCGCTTCATGTTGCTCAGAAAATTTTCGTTTTACATTCATTCCACAATTCTCCACAGGTTAGAAAACATGGTGAAATCCGTTTTGCCATACCCGTTGCCGTTTCCGAGAACTAAGCTCCCGGGATGAAGAAAAAAAAAATAAAAATAAACAGTAAGAAAACAATGCAGCTGCAAAAAAAAAAAATCAATACGAAAACAAAGCAGGGCGTTCGCTTCCGAACGCCCTGCAATAAACAGTTAGAAAACAATGCAGGGCGTTCGTAAAAAAAAAAAAAGAATTGACATTTCGATAACAAACTGGGACTTTGCTGAAAGCAAAGTCCCGCAAAAAAAAAAAAAAAAAAGAATTGACATTTCGATAACAAAAATCATTTTTTGAAAATAAATCTAATGGTGAAGAATGTGTGATATATTATTATTTCACAAAGAATGAATGATGAAAATAAAAATAAATTTGTCCTTGATGTTTTTTTTGATGCCCCGGTCCATGGCTGGTAAAGGTTTGATCCTCTAACTAGGGCCAGGTATCAATTATAATTGATTATTTTAATCATTTTAGCCAGCCTTACCATTTACTTGACAAATATTTTCACTTGTCTGCAATCGCATGACCCCAATTTTTTTGTTGTCAAGTTAGTTGATCAAACCTATAACAACAACAGGTCCAAGACTCACCCAAAACAAGTTTGACACCATTGACACAATAACTGTACGAAAAGGACAAAAAATCATAAAGAGTAAATTTTAAAAGCCGAAGAACTTGACTAAACTTCCACATTAGTCACTAGATATACCATACCAGGTAATTTACAAAGTCTTATATTAAAAAATGTTAATCCTGCAACAGAACTGTGGGATTATTTGGATTATTGATCGTTTAGATGGGCTAGGCTATTATCTGAATCTGATGTGATTGGGAGGTGACGAATTCTAGCCATGCATCCTAGGACTAATTCTTATTAATCTGTCTACTCATTTTTAAGTAAGGAAAATGTAAAAGAAATAGCCCTGATATACTTACAATATTTTATAACTGCAATATTTACTGGAGCAGTGCATGTTACAGTTTTCATTTTGGCGATGACTTTTTGAATAGGTGAATAACAACAGATGAATGTTTGACAACAACCAATATGTGTCTATCTATGTTTATCTATTCACCTGAACCTAATCAAGTAATATACATTTCGAAAATATAATGGCTAATTGAGTTTCAATCAGCTGATATGTAACTGCTGCTTTTCATTGGATTGGTTTTCTCGTTTCATCTAACAGTATAGACTCTTTTATCCAGCATTAATGTAATATCAATCTATTATAAATGTAGCAATCAAGACTATATTTTACTAATATATATTTTTAGACTTGAATATTTTGAGGAATGGCATACCCATAGAGTTATATATAATTCTATAGGTATACCTTTAGTAATTTAGAATACAGTGCCTAAGACAAAACTGGAGAAAAGACTGATATTGAGTACGAGCCTCTTTTATTAGGGCTACTTCAATCTTTCGTTAGCCTACTTACACTATTTCGTCACTGCGTCAATGAATCTGTTGACTATCATCAGTTAATGCAGCTTGATTTTAACGAATCTTGACATGTTAGATATGTTGTAAGATATCGAATGAATTAGAATTTTATATGACTAACTAGATCTAACACGAAATTCAAAATTATTCACTTGTCATATTTTCGTTTTCTGTTGAAACGAAATATTTCGCACTTTGTACATACAGTTAAGATGTCAGCCCCCTTAACATCATTGCTTTTCAAAAGATTAAGCAATCTTTGTCGATTGCGATTTAGACAGCTGAATGCAACAGTAATACTAGTAAGAAAAATATACCTGTAGAAACTCTGGGCAATAATCAACCACATTAAATTTAGATTTTGTCTTGGCCTATAGCTTTTATTTGGTATGGAAATTTCCAATTTCATGCTAGGCCTACTTGCTATTCTTGAGCTTAGAATTGATTTTATTATCTCATTTCAAAGATGTTCTAAATCAAATTTTCATCTGTAGGCTATTTGTCTTAGAATGTTTTCAGGTCCATAGGCATAGAATTGTCCGAGTATATTTGCCACACTTGCCACTCTTTTTAAAACTCTTAATTCCTCAGGACAGTTTGGAGACTGGCATTATCAGCTGTAAACTTAGTAAAGGCTATTATGTCACAGAAATTGTAATGCTTTTATTATACGCCCACATGTAATAGGGGCGTAGATTGTCATCACCCATGTCAGTCCATCCGTCTGTCTAAAATCAGAAAGATCAAAAAATAATTAGTAACTGTATGAGTTATTGGCCTTGTTCTTGAAAATGTTCAATTTTAGCTTGTAAACACTCTAGAATGCACAATTCTTGACAGATTTTGACAAAACTTGATGTGATTTTGTAATCATCCAAGGTTAATCCCTTAGATCGAAAATCATAAAAAATTGAAAAATATTTAGTATGAGTTATTGCCCTTGTTCTTGAAAACGTATTCAATTTTTAGCACCAGATTGCACAAATCTTCACAGATTTAGATAAAACTTGGTATGAAAGTTAGTAATCATCGAAGGATGAAACCTATCGAAAATCAGAAAAATCGAAAAATAATGGGTATGAGTTATTGCCCTTGTTCTTGAAAATATGTAATTTGTAACACGTAAACACTCTAGAAGGCACAATTCTTATGGATTTTGAAGAAGCTTGGCTTGAGTGTATGTAATCACCCAAAGATGAACCTTAACGAAAATCAGAAAACCAAGTCAAACCAAGTATGACTTATTGACCTTGTTCTTGAAAAACTTCAAAGAGCATTTAATATTTAGCTAGTAAAAAGGCTCAATTCTTGCCAGATTTAATACAACTTTCGTAATATTGTTCAGTATGACCAAAAAGTTCAAAAGAATTGTATGAAGGTTGAATATTTCATACTGGTGATTGTTGCTGTACTGTCAAATCTTTGTATTCAAAATCAAAGCTACTAGTCAGTGTATATTACCTTGCCCGGCAAGCAATTTTAGTATCTGTATTCAAGGATTTTTGAATGCAGTTAGTTGTATTGTTAAGTATGTTTATGCTTCTCTGCATTCTAATAACATGCAGATTTAGAATCCCTTCTTGCCTAATTGAAATGAATATCTATTACTTATTAGTCATTTAGTACATTTTGGCTTGCATTATATATAAAAACATATGGATAAATGACAAAACACTACAAGCAATCAAATTGGTTTTTTATACGTCCACATGAAATGAGGGGGCGTATATTGCCGTCACCCATGTCCTTTGGTCGGTCCATCCTCAATTGCTCATAAACACTCTACAAGACACAATTCTTGACGGATTTTAACAAAACTTGGTATGAGTGTTCGTAATCACCCAAGGATGAACCCTATCAAAAATCAGAAGAATCGAAAAATATTTAGTACAAGTTATTGCCCTTTTTCTTGAAAAAGCTTTTAATATTTAGCTCATAAACATTCTAGAAGGCACAATTCTCGACAGATTTTGACGAAACTTGTCATGAGTGTTTGTTATACCCCAAGGATAAACCGTATTGAAAATACAAAAAATCGAAAAATATCTAGTATGAGTTATTGGCTTTGTTCTTGAAAACGCGTTCAATTTTTAGCTCGTTAACATTTTAGACACTGGGACAATTCTTGACAGATTTTGACGAAACTTTGGGTGAGTGTTCATAAGGATGAACCCTATTGAAAATCGAAAAATATTTAGTATGAGTTATTGCCCTTGTTCTTGAAAATGCGTTCAATTTTTAGCACGTAAACACTCTAGACACAGGGACAATTCTTGACTGATTTTGACGAAACTTGGTGTGAGTGTTCGTTATCACTCGAAGGATGAACCCTATTGAAAATCAGAAAAATCGAAAAATATGTAGTATGAGTCATTGCCCTTGTTCTTGAAAATGCTTTCAAATTTTAACTCTTTAACACTAAAAGGCATGATTCTTGCCGGATTTTGACAAAACTTGGTTTTATTATTCAGTCCCACGCTGAAGATTGAATATTTGCCTTTTATTGTTTTCAAAAAATTGAACCCATTTTCAAGAAAAAAGGCAATAATTGATACTCAGTATTATTCAGTATTGCCCTAAAGAGTTCAAAAGAAGTGTTTGACTGAAGGTTGAATATTTCATACTGGTGATTGTTACTGTACTGCTAATATACAGTATATTACCTTGCCTGACAAGCTATCTTTATAAAATCCCATAATTCTTGAGTGTTATTTTACAGAAGAAACAAAGTATCTCAGAAATAACTGATGTCACAGCCATTGCTTCAGAGAGTGGTGCAGATGTCGACTTTCAATTACCAGCAAATGAAAAAAAAGTAAAACAGAACAGAACTAGAAAGGCTAAATCTAAAAGTAAATCAGGTTCAGTACGAAGACATGTGAACAGAATACCAACTGACTTAAACGATGCTGTGTCTGTTGTGTTAGACAGTAAGTAGAAATGTTTGTGAACGAAACAAGAAAAATTTAAACATACAGTTGTGTCAAGGCTTGTGTCCGGTACAATTTCAGCAAATGTCCAGTATAATCTTGTTTGACAATAAAACACTCTCATATGTTTTTTTCTTTATAATGGTAATTGAATCTTTATATTACACTTACTGTAACATAAAGCTCCTCTGAATCTACCAGTGTAAGTGTTTGTGATCACACGAGGATGAACCCTATTGAAAATAAAAAAAATAAAAAATCTTTATGACGAAGTATGACTTATTGACCTAATTCTTGAAAAAGCATATATTTAGCTGGTAAAAAGGCTTGATTCTTAACAGATGTAACACAACTTGTTAATATTGTTCAGTATCACCAAAAAGTTCAAAAGAATTGTATGAAGGTTGAATATTTCATACTGGTGATTATTACTGTGCTGCCAAATATGTACTGTACTGTACTGCCAAAATCAAAGCTACCAGTGGGTGTATATTATTTTGCCTTGCAAGCAAGCTATCCTAGTATCTGTATTTAATTTTACTATGAATTGTATTTATATTATTATTCAAGTCTGCGAATTAGTATGATTTTCATTATACTATCTGTATGTACATACTACATAATGTAATTTCATTGTATAATATAACAATTATAACTTGGAAATTATTGTGTATGATTAATTGCTTTGGATTAAGGAAGAAAAACTGTGTGGTTTTGACCACTTTTGTCCACTCAAAAGGGTTCTGGACGGGAAGGTTTTTACCGGTCAAAGCTGGCCGGGTAAAAACAACACTGGACAAAACTTGACAATCCTTTTATCATTTGTTGACTTTGTTCATTGGAATATATTTAGCAGACGACTCATGGAATTCCGAGTACAACAAAAAAATGTGATATTTGGTAATAGGTGAAATCCGCCGTTTTGTATATGTTAAATTTTTAATTTTACTATTTGACTTTGTAGAGATAACCCATGGTTATCCAAACTTGCAAATGCGGGGTCGATGTCGCAAGAGGTCGCACATGTAAATTATTTACCTTTTCCAGAGATGCACGAAATTAGGTCATGTGACTGTATCACAAATTTATTAGTTTTGAAAGGTTTTGTTTTATTTTATTAGTTTTGTTAAATCAGTCGGATTCGAGAGCTTAAAGAATTAGGCCTCAGCTTGGGTAAAATGAGCTAAGATTTTCAACACTTCGAATCAGTACATGCACATTATACCTATTTATAATACTACTGACATGATTTTTATAGATTACCCAGTGACTGATCTGTTGAAATGTTCTGAAAACTTGAGAAATTTTCTGAAGACACGAAAACACAATATAACTCAGGAGGAATTTGATTTGATAGTTGAAAAAAGGATAAAAGAAATAAGAAGTCAAGGTAATTTTTCCATATGATTTTTATTATACGCACACATTGAAATATGTTTACAATAGAAAATAACTAAGTACTCCTGAAGTCCAACATGTTTCAAGAGCACAAAGTCTGTAATGGACGTATATTGCCGTCTCCCGGTTATCTTGACTTAGATAAAAATGCTTCAAAATTTGTTCATGTACACAATAGAGACTACAGATTTCATGTGATTTTGATGAAAT